CAAGCACATAATTATGTCTTATTTAACTATGATGAGCTGAGACCTTTTATTAAGTAAGTAGATGTTCGACATAAATTTTGTCAACAATGTACTATTTATGTTTTGTGATATCATAAACTCATATAATTTAGACAACATCGGCAATACTTACTATCCAATAACTCATAGCTAACTGAATCCCAAATCTTTCAATTACCAGATAAAAAATTTGCCAAATGATTTAGAACACATGGAAGTCCTATCACAAACTCATTATCTATTACAATGTAATTAACTGTATGTCAATAGTACATAATATATGTTTATTGATTATTGTTGTATTTAATATACAAGATTTATCAAATGGGAGGTAGTGTTGTTATTTCACTGTCTTTACTAAGCCTAAGCCTTGAAAGAAAAGTCAAGTGCTATAACGAGTATTTTGTCAATGAATATGTCTTTCATACTGAAAAATACGAGTATGGAAGAAAGCATACAATAACGGTGTTTGTATTAATGGATCGACTTCTAGTGAGTTTGAAGTTGACTACTATGGTAGATTGAAAGAGATCATCGAACTACAATATCATAACGAGCAGAATAGAGTGTTTTTATTCAAATACTATTGGTATGACACAACTAATAAAAGAATCAAAGTAGATCGTCATTATGGTCTCGTTGAAATCAACTCCAAAGCTAGACACTACAACATAAATGACATTTTTTTTTTTGTAAAGCAATGCCAACAAGTTTATTATATATACACCCCTTCCTTTAAAAAGGATTGATCAAGAGTTGATTGGTTATTCATTTTAAGAACAAAACCCAGGGGTCGTGTCGAGGTTGTTTAGGATGAGAGCGAAGACACAGATGTGATAGATGAAGTCTTTCAAGCTAGTGAGTTGGTTGAACCATACCGAGTTACTCCTTTGATTGACATAGAGGAATAAGATAAAGTCTTATTAATATTGATGCAGAGGAGTTGAATGCTAGAGCTCTACTAGTGGACTAGAGAATTTTGATGAAGAAGATGATAACCACATTGAAATGTACAATGAAGCTGATGATAGCAATTCAATTGAGGACGAAGATAAAAATTCTAACTAAACATGTTATGAGGCCTTATTTTCATAATGTAATATTAAGGATGATATTTTAGAAATTGTCAGCTCTTGTAATTGTGTTGAGCATGTTGAAAGGTTGCAATTCAAGATTTTGTGCTAGAGGATAGAAAACAATACATGGAGGAACTATAAAAAATTTAACAGTTTCACCGACAGCCTTACCAACAGACTGATACCTGTCGGTATTTCACCAAGAGTTGGAAAATAATTATAGGATTTTGCCACAATTACTGATAGCCTTACCGACGAACTGGTACCCATCGGTATTTTACCAAGAGTTGGAAAAAAATTATGGGATTTTGCCATAATTACCAACGGCTTCACTTACTGTAAGCGCACATCTCCAAGCGCATGCTTATCAGAGGCATGGTCGGTCGGCACAGTTACTGATGGCGCATTTACTGATGGCTCGAAAAGTCAGGCAAGATTTTTGAAATTTTTGGTGTCATTTTCAATTAATTACCAATGGAATTTAATGCCACTGACAACAATTAATGTTCCATTGGTAATGCCATAAGAAAAATTGCTATATAAAAGCTCCCCCCCTCCCGTTTGGTTCATTTTTCTCTCAACTCTCATCTTTATTTCTCTTCTCCTCTTCCTTTCAGTTTAGTTTTTGGCTTCTCCTCTTCATTTCAATTTAGTTTTTGGAAGAGATTCTATTTTTTTAGTGGTTGGTTTAAACATATTAAAAGGTATGCAATCTTTTTTTTCTTTATCTTTGTATTTTTTTAATTTTTATTATGATTTTTTTTGTGTTCTTTGTTTTGTATATTGTTTGTAGATAAAATCTTATAATCAACACACCATTAAGGTAAGTATTTTTTATTCCTAAATTTATTTTGAATTGATGTAGTGTTTTTTTAGTTTTGTGTATTGTTTATTTTGTATTTAGGATGTTTGGTGTAGTGTTATTTAGTTTTTTCATTTTATTTATTAGTTTTATGATATTATTGTTTGTATTGTAATAATTGTTATTGTTGAATTTATGTTTGAAATGTGAATTGAAATATAGAATTAAATTTAATTAGTTTATATTAATTTTAGGATATTATTATTTGTATTGCAATAAGTGTTATTGTTGAATTTATGTTTTAAATGTGAATTGAAATATATAATTAAATTTAATTAGTTTATATAAATTTTAGGATGTTATTGTTTGTATTGCAATAAGTGTTATTGTTGAATTTATGTTTAAAATGTGATTTAAAATATAGAATTAAATTTAATTAGTCTATATTAATTTTAAGATATTATTATTTCTTATGTTGTTTTTTATTTTGATTAATTTTAATTATTATTTATGAATTTGTATTGATGGTAATTGAAAATATATAGATGTTGAATTACTATAGATGTTAGGTTGTATAGAGTTGATTTTGCAATATTTGTGTAATTATCAATATTTGTAGGTTTTAACATTGTTATCAAAATAATCAAAGTTAATTATGTTATAATTCATATACATTTTTATAAATGCATCAAATGAAAACTACAGCATGTTGTCAGCAGACGATTGCAGCTAGTTCTTCTAGCAGCGAAGAGGACATCTTCTTAGGTGCTAATCACGGTGATGCATCTGTGCCAACTTGTGATACTACCTCTTCTAGTGCTGTTTCACAGCACATAAGAGGTGGGCCTTCACAACGGGGTCAATTTACCCACAAGTACCAGGCACAATGGAAGGATGACCTCTCAATGTAAGTTTGTTCAGATTTTAGTTTTTTTATATATACTTATAACATAATTTATGAATAACTGATTAATTTTGTAGTATTTAATTTCAAGTTCACAAATATTGAGGTTGTCCAGGCAATTACATTGGCGTTTAAATTGTCGATGAAGATTCTATTATTTCAATGGAGTCAGGTCTCCAGACATCCTGAGTGGAGACCTAATATCAATGCTTAGTTTCAGCAATTTCAGGTAAGTGTTAATTTTAAATTTCAAGTTTATTTTTAATAAATAATTTTTGAAATGTTATATCTTGTACTATTTTTATTTTTAATGAATTATTTATATACATAGAATAAATTTGAGTAGGATAGTGTGGACAACAATGTTGTCAGGAGGGTATAGGAGAAACACGCAACAACTAAGTAATATCGAAAATAATATTTATTTTTGATTTAAAATTTTATGTTCTAAATTCTAATTAATTACTATGGAAGTAGGCTGCGTGATTTTTGGTATGACACCCAAAAAAAGGCGAAAAGATATGAGAGGGACAACGATCTTGAAGGATGGAATGAGGTGGTGGTTTGGCGGGAATTCAAACCGCCATTCATCTCGAGAGATATATAGGCGGCATATATTGAGCATGTGACGTCTGAGTGGTTCTCATGACACTCACAATCTGAAGTCGTCAATAGGAATCGAAAAATTCATGGTTTGGTGACCACACACACCAGCAGCTCTGTCCCATTTAACACACATGCGAAGCGGATGATAAGATTAATTTAGATGAAATATATCGTTAAGTAATTTGTTGTTGCTTATAAATATATTTAACTTTCAATCTTTTTTCCTTACAAGCTACATCTCTTGAACGCGAACCAAGTCCAATGGAGCTATTTATAGAGACACACATGCGGAGTCAAGACCGCCAAAAGGGGGTGCAGTAGTATGTGGATAGTCGTGCTCAGCATTTTGTGGTATGTTCGTTCAATCATTTTATTTCATAAGTTATTATTTTCTTGAATTGAAAATAATGATTAAAAAAAAAATTCAAGAGACCTATAATAGCCGGTTGAGAGAGAGATATGGGAATGATCCTTCGACCCATCTAGATTTTGATCTGGATTTGTGGATGAAAGTTGAATCGTCTAGTGGACTCAATAAAAATCAGGTTTACGGGTTCTCCAACACTACGGTCAAAAACTTGCGGTCAGCCCGTAGTATCTTAATCGTTGGGAGCTCTCCATCATTTTCAAGCACCCAATCAAAGGAGTTCTTAGCCTTGAAACAACAATATGAACGCCTCTCGACAGATTATACTTAACTCCATTAAATGGTCATGGAGATTTAGATCAAAAATGGATGATGATCCATGTGTTGCTTCTTTTAGCCATACGATCCCGACAACAACCAGCATCCTCCTTCTCCTCAAACTCCGCCGCTATTTTAATTATTTTAATTTTTTAAAAAAATATTTAATTTGTAATGAATATTTTGATGAATATTATTTTACATTTTCAATGTTTAATATAAATTTATTTGGTTATTAAGTTTTTTTACTATTAATAAATAATTTAAAAAATATTTGAAATAAATACTGATGGTATTTTAGCAAGAGTTGGAAAAATTTACAAGTCATGCCACAATCACCAATAAATAAATTCCATCAATATTGACCCCGACTATTACTAATGGATTTATTCTGTCAATATTTATCAAAGTTGATAATATTTACTGCTCATGCCATATTTACTGACGGCTAGTCCATCAGTAATTACTGTTGAAAATACAGACGGAATAATTTCTTGAGGGAATTTTTTTGAGCACGCTAAGCCGTCTATAATATCGTTAGTGTTCCATCGATGGGTTTTTTTTTTTTAATTGCTGACAGAATGAGCGACAAAAAGAGAAATTACTGATGATAACATCCTCGACGGATGTATTTCATTGGTGACAGCGTCAATAAAAATTTTATCAACGGGTTTAGTTTATCTCACCGACAAAATTAATCTGAAATAAAATATGCAAATTTGATGTTCACATCCGCAGTCGTTTCCACTCATTAAAATTTATGTATTTTTTTCTTTGTTTGTTGTTGTCTTTGGCTTCTATTTGCATCAGTAACTCTCCATTCTTGGATGTCACATATTATAGCAGCAGCACAAATTATATTAAGATTTTTTCATCTAAAATTCGTACTCTAGACTACTAGTGTACACAAATATTCAACATGCTATATGTTACATTGCTAATTACTTTAAAGACATCATCATGATATTTTTAGCACGTTACATGGAGCATCAAGAGAAATTCACTCTTAACCTTACAAGTGAAAATTAGGGGGGGGGGGGGGATGGGGCTGAAAAAGAGAAGGAAGAGATAATACGTCTTAATAATTAGAAATCAACTTCTACGCAGGCGAGTCTTCAAATATTGACCTTTGTGTTGCCAACTCACAAAGTAATTCTTCACTTGCCATTCATACTTCCTTGTGTTCATAACGCATCCAAGAATGGCTCCTGATACCAATCCACTTGCATAACCTATCACCACCACCTTCCAACCAAATTCAAGTGGAGATCCCGAGCCTTCATCTTCTTTAGGTGCTGGCAACGAGTCCTCACCATTTCCACATTTTTTTGATAAAGGCTTTCCACACAATCCTGAATTCGCATCAAATGAAGTGCTGTCAAATGTCTCGAATTGGTTTCCTCTTGGTATTGGACCTGATAGAAGATTGTGAAACACATTAAAGACCGCGAGGAAGGTGAGCTGTGCAAGTTGGACAGGAATCTCTCCAGAGAGTTTGTTCTGAGAAAGGTCCAAAGCTTCAAGCCCTTTCAAGTTGGACAAGGATGGAGGGATGTGACCAGTGAGAAAGTTTTTGGAGAGATTGAGCAAATACAGTTCTTTGAGATCTCCAAGGGCATCTGGAATTCCTCCTTCAAAACGATTGCTTGAGAGATCAATAGCTGTGAGAAATTCTTGGATCTTCTCATATAATGTCATCACGCCTTTATTGGTCATTGTCATTGAGTAGTCAAAATGATATGTCATTCCATACCGTGGTAATTGGAAACTTGAGACTACTTGCATGTACAACGGGCGTTCTTTATAGATAGTTTTCATGGCAGACCAATTTCGAAAGTATTCAAGTGGCAACTTACCCAAAAAACAATTACCAGATAGATCAACAATCTGCAACCTCTGGAATTCAAAGTTAGCTTTAGGTTTCCCAATCACGCCATGAAGCCTATTGGATCTCAAAATCAGAACCCTCAACTTTGGCAAAATACCCAACCATGAAGGGAAGACATCATTTATCTTGTTTTGTTCAATATTGAGAATCGCTAGCTTGGGACAATTGACTAATGATTTTGGTATCTTCCCTTCCAATTGGTTTTGACTGAAATCGATTGCCCTCAATGCGCAGTCACTTGAGAAAGCTTCAGGAATGTCACCGCTGAAGCTGTTGTTGCGTAGATCGAGTACTGAAGTAGAGTTGCTTATGTTTCCTAAACATTGCGGAAGCTTGCCACTCAAATTGTTGTTAGACAATTGGAGGATAACAAGAGATGTCAGATTGCAGATTGCTGGTGGAATTTCTCCATTTAAACGGTTGTCTGAGACTATATAGATAATAGTGGAACGTGGTGGAATTGGAAGGGCTCCATCAAGCTTGTTGAAAGAAAGTCTCAGATAGCGTAGATTATTCCATGGAAGAATATCAACGGATTGCTCAAAACCTGTCAGAAGGTTGCCAATCAGATTTAAATGCCAAAGAGTTTCGGTGCCCAAGTTCATAAACCATGTTGGTATGTGCCCCTCAATTTTGTTTCCACCGAGTTCTACAAACTCCAAGTGATTTTGACCATGTAAGAAACTTGGAAACTCGCCTGATAAATTGCATCCACCCAAACCTAAAATTTGAAATTTTGGCAGAGCAGCACTATCATTGTTGTTACCAATCACAGACAAATTATTGTCAGATAATTGGAAGGAAACAAGGCTTCTTGACTTAAGAAGGCCAAATTCTACAGTGCCACTGAATAAATTTTCTCCTAGGTTAAGGGTTTCAAGATTGGGAAGCCTAAAAATAGACTCTGAAATTGGACCGTGCAGTTTGTTGGATCCAAGTTCCAGTGAGATTAATTGGGTTTGGTTTCCTATCCAAGATGGAATTTGACCAGTTAATTCATTCGAAAGAAGGTTTAACTGGGTGAGCTGAGTCAAGTTTCCAAGACAGGATGGAATCTCACCGTATGAATTGGTTCGGTTTAAGCCTACAAAAGTGAGTTTGGTTAGATTACAAAGCCAATGCAAGGTTCCGGAACTGAAATTATTACAAGAAAGCGACAGGTAAGTAAGTTGAAGAAGGTTGACAAATGTAGAAGGGATTTTCCCAGAGAAACTGTTATGAGAAAGGTCCAGATAGTTCAGTGTCGTAAGGTTACCAATTGAAGATGGTATCACCCCTGAAAAATAACATTTTGCTACATCAAATTCTTTCAATGATTTGAGGTTACCAATGGATTCCGGTAGATGACTGGAGAAACTTGTTCCTGCGAGCAACAATAATTCAAGGTGGCTGTCCCGGTGAAATTCCGGCAAATATCCCATGAGATGTGGATTATACCGGATACTGAGAAAGCGAAGGTTGGGTAATTGGAATATTCCCATGGGAAACTCTCCCATCAATCCACAATCCCTGAGAAATAGAGATGATAAAGAGGATAAATTTGCCATGATTTGAGGTACCTTGGATGATATTTCCACTCCGCTGAGATGGAGCACCTCCAAGTTGGTTAATGCTCCAACTAAATCTTGCAGACCAGGTTTTTGGAGCTTCAAAGAATTTAATCCCAGATCAAGGAAAACCAACTTGGAAAGCTCTAAGACCTCTTCTGGGATTTGACCAGAAAAGGAAGAATATGAGAGATCTAGATCAAACAGCCTTGAGAGATTTCGAATCTCAGAAGGGATTTTAGAGTTGTTGAAGTCGTTATCGGCAAGGTTCAGCCTTCTGAGCTGAACAAGGTGGAAGAGGCTGCTATTAGAGTCGATGGAGCCATAAAGGCAGCTTCTACTGAGGTCAAGGCCGATCACATGACCAGAGTCCATATCGCATTCAACACCATCCCATGAGCAGCAATCACCGCTTCCTCCATCAACTTTCCATGATGCAACCTTGGGATAAGCAGAAGAATCAGAAGAAGCTGACCTATGAATGACAAGGCTTTCCTTGAACTGCAACAAGGCATTACCCTCCTCAGCATGGCATAGTGGCTGCGTGGAAGGAGAAGAGTGACAAGCTCTATGATGAAAAAACGAGAGCAAAAGGAGCAAAAGCATTCGCATAGTTATATAGACAAAAATATTCAGTCTAGGGCGTTGTCTTGTTGGCGAAGTTAAAGTAGCCTAGGCCATTGTCTTTTTGGGAAAGTTGAAGTAGTCTTCTTGTCGGAAGACTTTGGCGCTACTGGAAGTCTATGTATTGTCTTGTTTCGGTGAATTCCAGAGCAAAGTGTGGAATGGAAAAGTGAACTGGCCCTTATCACCAATTAACATGGGGTATGGTTAGTAAGATATAAATGCAAAACAAAAATGTTGCACTGTTTGTCCTCGTATAGATCAAGCGCATTCTTGATGCATATATAAACAATTCAAGAAAAATAACAAATATAAACAATACCTAATTTTGGCTAATAAAATTATCCTGTAAAATTTTAATTTAAAATTTTATTATTAATGTTTTTTTTTAAATAATCTCTTGAAATATAAGGTAAGCAAACTTGTTTATTCTAATCTTAGACTTGAATTGAATTATAAAAAATAAAATTTCTAATAGAAATTAAATATGATAAAAGCATCATAAAAAAATATTTTTTAAAACTAAATTGAAATAATAATAGCTAAAGGAACAAATATTTTGTTCCTAAAAATCTTTTTGCATCAATCTCCTCATGTTGAAAAGAATTTATTCTTAAGTTCATATTATTATTATCTCAATCTTGTGGATTTTTAGTCAAGACTTTTCAACCTTTTTACTTTCTTTGCTTTAAGTGCATAATAATATTAGATTTTAACTTCAATCATTTCATGTTAAAATTTGCATAGAAAATAATAGTCATTAATTATTTCTCTTTCATTAACTTCTAGAATAATAAGGACATCATAGATCACATCATCATTATTATTACTATTATTGTTTATATTATTATTATTAATATAGTCATTATCAAAATAAATTTTATAAATTGATAGAAAATATCAATTAACATGTATTTCATCATAAATGGAATCACCAAAATCTATATGATATTTATCTCAATCAAGAAGTTGTTTCTCATCTGCATATGTCTTTATGATTACTTTCTTTATGATCCTTTAATTTTTTCTTCTTTATCTTTGCTAATGAATAAAATAATTTTTTAACTTGCTTTTGCAATTTTATCACTGTTAACTAACTTGTCAACTATGTAATTTGCTTTTATATGTCTTTTATTATTAGTTCATAAACATTTATTTCTCGGGATAGAACCTCATCATCCTCTTTTACAAAAACATGTTCTATTTGTAACCACCTTTTTTAGAAATGGTTATTTAACATCACATAATAATTAACCACCATGAATATATGGGCTATAATATCAACTAATACAAATAAAAAATAAAATAAAATAGAAAGCCAACAAGTTAGAATAAGAGAAAATCATAGTCGAAAAGGGTTTTCGCACAAGAATCAAAATTCATATTTTATTGTTGTAGGCCAAATCAAAAGTTTTTTATGAAAAAAAGAATGTGCAGAGATTTTCAATACATTTTTTTACATCAAGAAAAAGTTTTAAATGTAAATCAAAAAGTTGATGCATATATTTAATTAAATAAATCAAGAATCATATATGCTAATAAATACAAAAAAAAATTATTAACACTAACTAAAAACTAAGATGAAAAGTTGAGAGATAAATATAGATCAAGATATTTAATCTTGCAATACAGGTCATATACCTCGTATGGGGTTAATTAATAGCATTAATTTGGATTGAATACTTTATTTAATTAAATAAAAATAAAAAATCAACATACTCTAGAAAGTGATTAAATAAAATTCAAGCAAAAAACAATATTATGTAGGGTTGCACAAAAACAACACCGATTAAAATTAGAAAATAATTTGCAATCTTGTTTGAAAACCAAATCAAAATTAAACTGCATTTTATTAAAAAAAATTATTTATTTATTTTATTTAATCTCAATTAAAATTGATTAATCGTCAGGCATCCTACACATATATTTAATTATCCATTATAATTAAAATTCTAAATGAAAAAAATTAAAGTTAAAAAAGGTGCTAAACAACTAGCACATTAATGAAAAGGGCCACAAAGGTTGATATAGGGTAAAATATTTTTATTTAAAAACACCTAATAAATATATGTATAATGCCAATAAACTAACTTGTTAACTTAACACACTTCTAAAATTTTCATAAAAAATACAAAATCAAATCAAAAGAAATTTCTCATTGATCCCTATTCTACTTTTTCTAATAAGATAAAAAGTAAAACACTTGAATGGAATACCTCTTATCAAATAAAACTTATTAACATCAAAAATAAGTTTTTTATCATCAAAATATGTCCAACCAACTACTTTCTCTTTCCTTCAATATTTTTCAATGAGTTTCTCTATTCTCACCCAATCACAAGAACTGAAAAATGAATAAAATGATGTTTTAGACAAAAACAAAACTGTGTCAAACAAAAGAACCAAAAACAAAATTTTTCAAACTCTTAAGCCATAAAATCCTAAAAACACACTAGACAAACATTGTTTTAAACAAAAAAAATCATTCTTTGCCTCATACACAAATTTACTCCTTGAAAAATAGTTTTTTTGTAGCCATTAATACCAAATTGTTTTTTGCAAAATTAAGTATCAATCCAATGTCTTAAAAGTTTTTAGACATCTTGATATTTAGATAAAAAAATAAATCAAAATAAAATATAAAATCTAATTCCAAACTCACGTATTGTAAAAGAATAAATTTTAATGAAGTTTGTTTTTTATGATCGAGGTAAAAAAAATCCCTCATCTTTAAGATTTTTTTAATTTAATTATTTTAATGAGTATTGATCGTTCTATTATGGTATTGTAGTATAGCGGGCTTGTGTCTTATAGTCATTTGGAAAAAAAAATAGCATTTTAATATAAAAAAGGATGTTTCTAATTTTTATTGAAAATATTTTTGGAAGTTGTTAAAAAAAATAAATGAGAATAGTAAATCAAGTTAAATAAGTAAAAGTTTTTAATTTTTTTCTAAATTATTATTATTATTATTATTGATACTTTTACCAAAAGAATTTTGATAATTTTTTCCTTTTAATGAGTAAAAGGTTTTAATTTTAAAAATCTCGAAGCAATGTATGGATTTCCTTTTCTTAAAAAGTAAAATGTTCTGAAAAACCCTTGAACTTCCTTAGAAATGATGAAAATATCCTCGTGGCATGTGTAGCTCACAAGCAACCACTATTGAAGGGGGAATTCTCTACAAGATTCCAAACCAAAAGGGGTAGATTTTGGTATATCTCAATGAGATGATTCTAATAATGGTAGTGGGAGTCATTGATGGCTAATAAGAAAGAATTGACGGTTTGAAACTTTGAGTGGCTGAAGATAACATAGCCTTTCTCTTGAAATATAAGGTTGTAAAGTCGATGAAAATCAATTGAGGTTTTGCTCACAAGAAGGAGAAGAGTCCTTTTTTGGTTGTTCGATGACTTAAGATGACCAAAGTTAGGAGATCTAAAGAGAGAGAATTGCCAATGAGAGGAGAGAGAGAGTCTATAAGGTTTGCTAAGGTGAGGATACAAGCATGATAATCTAGTGCACCTAGAGCTTGTGGACTGTAAATCACTTCTGAATTGATTTTTCAGATATGATTCGTTTGATTAAAAAATTGATATAACAGTCCTGATTGACAAATACTTGTTTCAGTGTGATCAGATTCATGGGATGCTTGGTACATTAGGTGACATGGCGAGATATGATCAAAGAACATATTCTTTAAGGGCTGAGATGGATTTGGGTTTTAATCTAGTATAATAAGCTCTATTAGATTAGATCCAATTAAGGGTTCAGAACTAATACTATTAGATCTAACAATTACAATATTTTTGATACCTTTTGAATTGTTTTTTAAAAAATCAATATCTTACTAGCATTAAGAAAAACTTAAAAAACAAAACATCAATAATATCTTTGAGTTATTAATATTCATATTAACTTTCTTTTTCTTGTTTCTTTTTGCAAACATTTCACTGGAAGCCATTACTTAGGAGACATGACATTTATGTCCAAGAAACACGACAAGAGACATAGAGTGGTCTTGAAGAAAATTTTCAATTGTATTAACTGCTTTGTTGAAAAAAAAATTTAATTGTATTAACTGCTTTGTTGAAAAAAAAAAGCTTTTTGATTTTTATTAATTTTTATGTTATACACACACGAGTAAAACTAAAAATTCAAATCAGTATTAGAAAATGATCATTTTTTATTACCGCAAAATTAATTTCAAACACCAAAAAATATTTTTTAACCAGTATCAACCCGACGGACCTGGTTTTGAATGAAAATAATGGTTTTGACAAAAAAATGACATGAAACTCATTTTTTATCCTAGTTGACATGATTTGACTCGTATTAATATGATGGAAATAGTTTTGATAAAAAATGACAATATTGAACCAAAACAGCTTAAAACTTTTTTTTTACCCCGGTTGACATGGTATGATTTGTATTGCCAACTGTGATCGATTTTCATTGAAAATGACAGTTTTGACTCGAAATGGTCTGATACTCATTTATTATCTTAGTCGACATGGTTTGACTCATATTAACCTAATGAACTTGTTTTTTATGGGAAAAAGGAGGTAGACTTGAGAAAAATATATTTTTATATTTTTAAATTTGTCTTAATTCTTTTTGGATTTTTCTAAATGAAACTAGAAATAAAATAATATACAAGAAAATTTTGAAGAATCCAAAATTAGGTTATTATAAACTCCAACAACTAGAAACTAGCCCAATCACTTCATTAGCCTCGTTAGGATGCAACCATGAAAAATTCATATTTTATTTAAATTTTTTTCATAATTTAATCAATTATATTTATAATTATTAAACCTAATTTCATAGGTTAACTTAGACTCTGGAATTTAAGGTCATGGTCATGTTTAAAAAAGAAGAAAATCCAAGTTGCATTTGACCCGAGAAGCCCTGAGCAACCCGCCGGATCAATCAAGTGTTGGGATTTGTCATTAATAGA